GAGGTAGCACACGGAAGGACCGAGCCTTCCCAACCTCCCGGTCCGGCCCCGCCGCGCATGCGTAGCGAAGACCCAGGCGTCCGCAGTCGGGAAGAACGAAATGGGCGGGGCTGGGTGCGCCCTCTGCCTATGCGGAGCCTCGGCTTGGGTCCCTCCCGGCAGCGGCCATATTGACAACTGGCAAATTCCCCCTTGAATCCCGCAGAAACAGCGGCTTGAAGTGTCGGCTTCCAAGTTGGAAAGACCCAAGGAAGAGAAGGGTGTCCACGTCGCACAGAGGAACGGCTTCCGCCCGTTTTACCTCGCGCGGGCAGGCGCCTTTCCAAAGCCTTTCGGGAAAGTTGCTGTGGTGACGTCCCCGGGCCAGGAAAGGAGAGAGCGGGAGAGCGGTGTGAGCATGCGCAATGGCTACGTTTTTGCCTTTTACATTACAGTTCCTGTTTAGGTTGAGGTGGATGGACATTCTGGCTCTTCTTGGTAAACCAGATCCTAAATTGTGGGTGGAAACTGTCTAGATGCACGTTGAAGGACAGCGGCTGACCAGGTTCTGCTGCATCAAATACGAGATCTTTGTATTGTAATCAAGAGTCAGGCAGGCCTGGGTGCAAGTGTTACACCCTGTCACATATTAGCAGTGCCATCTTAGATGTGTTTTTTAACCTTGAAGCCTCAGCTTACAAAATTTACTTGACGCAGTAAAAAGGTAAAATGCTCAGACTGAGAGCTTGGCACTTGGTATTCCTTATTATTACACCACAAGTTATACATTTCCAAAGCAACTACTTAAAAAGTTGTACTTATTTAAAAATCTGGTGCAATGATCCTGCACATGACATTGCAGGACAACAAGATTATGAAGATTCGTATATTCATGAGTAATAAATGCAGAGCCCTGTTGAGGCATTGGGGACACAAAAATGAGTGTGTCCTTACTCCAGCAGAGCTCACAGGCGAGTGAGTCTTACACTCCGAGTTTAAATGTTAATTTGAATTTTTTGGCTTCTTTGGTAGCGTTTGCGAACAGTCTTTTACCATTACACCTACTCACACTCAACCCCTTCCCTCTTGGACAGTAGCCCGATCTTGGAAAAGGTCGGAGAAAACCAGTTTGATTGGAGTCAACTGAGAGGAACTTTCTCTCCTCCATAGCCGAGTATATCTGACTACAGACTTCCGTGATCTGGGACAGACCCTTCCAGTTAATCACCACCAAAACCTGCACCATGTGCTCCTCGCCAATGAAATGCTAATGAGAATTAATAAATCATAATTTTAATACGTTATCTGGATACTGCAGGCAGACTGACTAGCATAGGTCAATAAAAATAAAGTCCTTTGGCTTTAGCAAACTTAGCAAAACTAAAATGAGATCCTTGCCTTGATCTTAGATCACGCAGGTTTTAATACACACAACAAATAATATAAAACTAAAATTTCTTTCCTCGTTCCCTTCCAAATTAACTATTTCCATCTGAAGTATTTGCAAGAACACCATTACTACATCTACCAAGTTCCCAGCCTCTTTCTCTGGGCATAATATAGGTAGCAAAGCATCTTCAGAAATGTGAAGTAAATCATTTATAATGGGTGGAGGGCAGTTACACGGAATGACAATAGTAACAGCTTTCCATTAGTGAGAACATACTATATGTTAAACATTGTGTTACTTGTTTTACTTCTTTCACCCTAACAAAATCCTGTGAAGTAGGAATTACCGTTTTTTTTATAGGTGAGTCACAGAGAGTTTAAGTATCTTGGTAAGGTCATACAGCTAAAAATCAACTGAGGTGAGATTTCATTCTAGGGGTCTTTTTCTCCAGTCTTAGCTGTTAATCATGGGATATAGAGGATGAGGGAATCAATTTCTTATATATTACCAGTAATCAATTGGCAAATCAGTCCAAAAGTTCTTTTTTTATTATTGATATCTTCCCAGGGATAAGCCATATACAAATCTATTAATATATAAAAATATTACCAAAAAAGTAAGTGTAATACTCATTTTCTATTATCACTCACTTTAATTTGTATGAACTACACTTGAAAATAAATTTAATTTCTTTAAACATATATATTATTTAACTTTTGGCTATATTTTGTGTGTGCAGCTCAAATGCATTTTATTTTAAGTGTTTGTAGTTTTCAATGTTCTGATCCTTGGTGAATACTCCTATTTTCAGGATAGAACCCAACTGCATTTCGGTTTACAAACTTTACAACTCCAAGTCACACCTACTGTGTCTCAGAATATATCCCATGAGCCCCTCTCTTTGCCATCGTGGGTAGCATCCTATGTACACATCCTTATGTGCTTGCTGTCTTGGTACGATGGGACTATTTCAAATGCTAGTGAGATGCCCTCTATGTAGACATCTTTTGCCCACCTCGATGGGATTTTCCATTTCTCTCTAAGTCAAAGCGGAAATGAAGTGCAGGGAAAAGCAGGGTTTGATGTTCAAGTGCTGCCCTCTGTTGTCAGTGTGCTGTATCTACACTTACTGCCTTCTAGAACGCTGAAATTCGGAATTGTACGTAATTTCAATACTTTTGGGATTTATTTTCCTAGAGATAACAAAACTTTGATACTTCTATTTGCAATTGCATTGGCAGAAATTTCCAGTAACTATTTCATGAACCGTGATTATAAGTCTCTATAATAACAACTTAAATGTGATAAGGAGCCCTTTAGACCGTCAGCTCCTTGGCAGCAGTAACTGTAGCTTGTTTATCTTTTAATTCTGGGTCCTAACACAGGACCTAGAATATAATAGGAATGCCGTGAATATTTGTGGGATCAGGTCAATAATTAAGACGCTACAACCGTCTCCTTAGGAAATGCTAAAAAGAGTCACTTTCCAAGATACACCTTTGATACCTGCCAGAGAACATAGCTAAACATCTATTTATATTGGCTCAGGGGTTAGGAATAACAATAAAATATATGTTAGTCTTTAAAATCCAAGGAATATTTTTCCCAAACTAAAGAGAAATGTTCATTTAACAATGATTTGGATAGTTTAACTAATCCATTATAATTTAGACTTTGAGAGTTTTTTTTTTACCTACTCCATAGTTAAAATTACACTTTGGTATACCCAAACTGAAAAAAAAAATACTTAAAAAACTCTCTATTAATATATATATTTTCCTTACACTCTCAAAACTGACCGTAACTGCTTTTCCACTGTTACCTTATCTACATTCTTCATTTGCTTTTTCCCACAGTTCCAGGTTTACTTCAGTATTATCTAAAACCATTTATTGAGTTTACTAATCATTGAAACTTCTTTCATCTGCTGTCAAGTCACTGTTTATTTCTTTGTCAGACTTTATAGGTCAGACTTTATAGATCAAACAGACTCCCCCTCCTAAGCTTCTATCATTTATGTTTCTTATACATTAATTCCATAAGGGACCCCCAAAATTGCATTCTTAATACGCTTTAACATTATCTTTCTTTTGCATTTAAACAGTATAAGAATATTACATATAATCTCCTTTGAATTTTTATAGTCTTTCAAATAAACAAGCCAGAAAAGTATAGCAAAAAGCTTACACAAAAGCCATGTCACAACAGTTGTAGATAGAATTTGTTTGGTCCCCAGTTGATTGTAATTCATTCAAAATTCTTGACTTTTGTGCCCATGGTAAGCAGTGTGAGGGTGAAAAGACGTCTATATTCTGGCTGTTTGTCACTGCAAATGTGAGGGGGGTATTGCCCATATTTGAACCCCTTTTCTCTGTTTAATTGAATGTGGGAAATAGAGCCTTCCTCCTGTAATGAACTGAATGTCAGTCACTTTCCCGGCTCTGTGACAGCTAGAACCCAGGCATATGATCTAGGGACTGCTAACCAAAATCATCCACCTGAAATTTTTACTAGGAGACAGTGAGGCAGGGGCTGTGACAATTCTTGGCAGGGAATAGAGCTGGTAGTTTGGGAGGCAGCACCCTTTTTCAGTAGCAGCAGTGCCAGCAATAGCCTGCCTTTATTCTTGCCTATTCTCAAATCTGGTTCTCTAGGCTTCCTACAATATTGTGTGCTACTCAGTTTTCTTTTAATAATTTTAACTCTGCTTAGATCAGCCAGAATTTGTTTCTCTTGCTTGTAACTAATAACCCAAATGGACCTAATTATCACTAATTATCATTAATGGAGACTCTCTTTTCCCATAGACTTAACATGCATAGTTCATTTCATATATTCCTTTCTGTAAAATTATTCCTTTCTGTGAAATTATTTTCCCCTCATTTTATCTTCAGTCTATAGAAAAAAACTGAGTTTTAGAGAGGTTAAGTGGTAGAAAATTTTATTTTTTTGTTTTACTTTAAATTTATGCCCATTTTACAACATTCTCAAGAAGAAGCAAACAAGTTTGGAAAGAATCTTTCACAGTGTTTTTTAATCTTTAAAATTTGCGTTACCTCAGAATGAAATTTTCATACAGTCTTCTGTGTAGTTCTTGGTGGGTCAGCTTTATAATAGGAATCACAAGCCAACATTTCCAGACCTATGTCAGGAAGATTTTGGGTTGGTCAGTTTCTTCTCCGGAATTTGCTTTCCTGTGTATAATGGAACTTGCCCTTTGCTTCAAATAAACCAAGAAAGGCCAATATCCACTACACAGAGACACACATTTGTGTTTATTGCAGGGTTTATTAACAACCGCGCTATTGACATTTGAGTTGCACAATTCTTTGTTGGGGTCCGACCTGTACATTGTGGAGTGTTTAGTAGCTTCCCTGACCATTACCTCTGGATGCCAGTAGCACTGCCTATTCCCCACACCACCCCTCAACCTTCTATTGCCATCAAAAATATCTCCAGACATTGCCAAATTGCCTTTGGCTCACAGGAAGAAAGGAAGGCAGGTAGGAGGAATGAAGGTAAAGAAGTAAGAAAACAAGTCAGGGAGGTTCCTGGATTGAGACTCTGAACAAAGTCTTAAATCTAATTTAATCCAAAATCAAATGCAAGGCATATTCCTCAAGACTATAATGTTTCTTGTGTTGAAAGACTAAATTTAGATTCTTGGCTGTATTTTGAACTGAGTTGCTGGGTGAGTCTTTGAGCTTCCATACTTGAGAAAGGCACCTTTTTTCCTTTATTAGGTTTCCCCTTCCCAAAGAAACCAAACAATGATTGGATAAGGTATTGTTAAATCCTTTTTAGAGAAAACAACAGTATTTCTAGGAATTTGCTTTCCTGTGTATAATGGAACTTGCCCTTTGCTTCAAATAAACCAAGAAAGGCCAATATCCACTACACAGAGACACACATTTGTGTTTATTGCAGGGTTTATTAACAACCGCGCTATTGACATTTGAGTTGCACAATTCTTTGTTGGGGTCCGACCTGTACATTGTGGAGTGTTTAGTAGCTTCCCTGACCATTACCTCTGGATGCCAGTAGCACTGCCTATTCCCCACACCACCCCTCAACCTTCTATTGCCATCAAAAATATCTCCAGACATTGCCAAATTGCCTTTGGCTCACAGGAAGAAAGGAAGGCAGGTAGGAGGAATGAAGGTAAAGAAGTAAGAAAACAAGTCAGGGAGGTTCCTGGATTGAGACTCTGAACAAAGTCTTAAATCTAATTTAATCCAAAATCAAATGCAAGGCATATTCCTCAAGACTATAATGTTTCTTGTGTTGAAAGACTAAATTTAGATTCTTGGCTGTATTTTGAACTGAGTTGCTGGGTGAGTCTTTGAGCTTCCATACTTGAGAAAGGCACCTTTTTTCCTTTATTAGGTTTCCCCTTCCCAAAGAAACCAAACAATGATTGGATAAGGTATTGTTAAATCCTTTTTAGAGAAAACAACAGTATTTCTTACTCTTAGCCTTAGAGACTCCATAAGCTTAAGACCTAAAAACATAAGTTCAAGGTAGAGAACTTTACACACATGGCACTTAATTCACATGTTAATTCAAACAATGTCACATGTTAACTAACATGTGAAAACACTGAGAGTTAACAGAAACTAGAAACTGGGTAATGGTGGCAGCTTTTGCTGCTGCTTCTTAGCATAGCATAATTGCAAAGGGGCTTGTCACCTCTAGAGCAAGTACAACATGCATGTTTTTCAAACAACCAGGCTGTACCTTTGTACTATACTTTCTCTGCAGTTTATAGTGTCAGGAAGACTTTGCCTTCTAGCTGAAAATAAGTTGACTTCTCAGCTTAACTCTAAATAAATTCATGTAGTCTGGGGAACAGATGGGGCTTTCATTGTTAAACACGTTCTCAAACTTTTTATGGTTAAGGTTACTTGTTATGTTAAAATCAGGAAGCAATCTAAAAAAAAAAAAATCCAACACTGAGTTAGTCAAACTCGGACAATACTCTTGATGGACTATTAAATAATGAAATTTATATTTATGGAGACTATGAAATTATATGGAAAAATACATAGTAAAAAGTGCAGAATATAAAGTTGTAATATGAGTATGTTTACCACCTGACAAAGTAAAACTATGCAGAGTGTAAAATACAATATATTAGAGATAATGGCAAATTGCAGGAAAGCTATAGAGATACCATGGAAGAAAAAAAATATGTGGTGTAATTTCAGGACTCAGTCAAAGAAAAAGGAATGCTGTGGCCCCCAACAGAGGACAGAAAATGAAACTCATTGCTATGCTGCATAACAGAAAAATTAGCTATCATTGATGCACATGAGAGGATAGGACTTTGCAGGCATTTTAAGTACCTAAATGTGAGTTTACTCTTTTAGCAACACAAAAGAAAAAAAAGCTCAGTTTTTGTCTTTTCAAAGGGAAAAGAAACTGAAATAAATAATTAGGGGACAGGACTAAAGTTGAATTTTCCCCCCTCCTTGCTCTTTTTTCCAAATTTTCTTTCATTGAGCATTAGTTTGCTATTAGAAAATTCTTTGGAGAAAAGCACACAGAAGTCCTTACTCAGACATAGAACAAGCTGATTATTAAATGAAAGAAACTTTTGGCTTCAAAATGAAAATTGTAGCAAAGAGAGGTAAGGTCAGAGAAGTTTTCGATGTTAGAACGGCTTTCTTTGGAGCAATCAGCTGAAGCTAACCAGCCTGGGAAAGTTTCTATCTTCCACTTGGGAGGAGAGAGCTTCTCTACATAATCTTTGCTTAAAATGCTTTTAAGTTCCTCAGCAGGAGAGACCACAGCAGTACAAAAAGCTGCAAAAAAGAAGTGCCCAAGGCAAGTGAAGCTTTCCCTCTGAAGGCAGGTTTCACAGTCAAAAGTTCCTCTAAAGAAACCAAACGCCTTTTCTTCCATTCTCACAACTGGATAAAAATAATAGACCCATTTGATTCAACAATATTTTTGAATGGCAAAAATATTTTCCAAATAAAATATTTGGGTGGATCAAGTGATAGATGAATTGAACAAGTTATCCGAGGCTCTAAATACCTCTTCATTGTACCTCACTGTTTCGCCTAGCAATAAAATGTTACTGACACAACAATAATAAATAGAAACCTGCCTATTTTCCCATAACCAGTTAATGGGAGAAGAAAACACCTGCCAATTGCAGTCCTACAAAAATGGTTTTAATATAGGGTCACAGAAAATTCAAAGGTTTTATAGCCCACTATAAAACAGCTCTTTGTCTTTTCCCACTAATTCCCTAGTGTCACATTTAACAAAACAAGGAAACTGCAGATAATAGATGTGTTTGCAGATTAACCTTCCAAGCCATAAATAACACAGGGTCTTGCTCACCTACAAATATTAAGGCAGCTTATCAATGTTTAAGCCCTTTTCTCTTTGTAAGGGTTGCTAACATTTTAACCCAGGCAAATTGAGAATTTTTTTCTTTCCTGTCTTCTTACATTGACAGAGTGCACATTCATAAGATTCTATTATCAGATTTCATGGTATAAAGCGTGGGACATCACCTAAGCACTCACCTGCTACCCAAGAGGCCATGTTTTGGAAGATGCATCTGCTCTATGCGGTCCTTGTTTGGCTGTCTCTTAGCTATGGTTTTGATCCTAAGTGTCCTGGAAGATGTAGCTGTGATTCCATGCAGTCGGTACAGTGTTACAGGCTAACTGAGGTACCATCAGGTATTCCTTCTACCACCAAGAAGCTCTACATCAGCCACAGCAGAATTCAACGCCTTCAGGTAACTATTCACTCTGCACTCAAGTTGCTGCAATTTTATTTTGTGAGGCAGTGTGAGAGGGAGTGTGTGGCTGTTAAACTGAATTTAAATAATAAAAACCTAAAAGTGATGGTTATCAAATTTGGGTAGTTGCACTAGCTACCTGCTTGCTCTGTACTACTGAGATGGCTCTGGATGTATCTTTTTAGGGAAGCAGCCAAAAAAAAATCACATTCTATAATTAATGATATTTTATTTCAGGTTAAATTCCAAAAAAAATTTGATTATGTTGCTGCAAAGTAAAAGTAAAGAAAGAGTTTGAGAGCATATGGCCACTTTATGTCCCCAGAATTAAGCCCATTCAGGGGAAAAAGTAGTTATGCTTATGCCATAGAAGGCAGATGATACTTAAAGCATTTTAAGACTCTCAAAATGAACACAACATATGAGAAGTATTCATACAAATCCTACATACCAGCTAAGCACCAGTGTCTTTGTGGAAACCTATCCAGAGGAAATACATGTTTTTGTTTTGCCATATGACTGCAATTCTCAGTCTATGTGCTTTTAATTTTGACATTCATTTTTACGCTTACCTACTCAGAGGGCCCTGGAATGAGTTCTATAGATTTGACTGACTTCGAGAATATGAAGGAGCTTTTGTTTTTGACCTTTGGTATTTTGAAAAGTATCAAGAGGTTAGGGTTCTCACCCTAGTTTTCTCACCAACTGGAGATATAACCATTTAGAAAGAAGTTCTCTGGGCTTCACTTTTTTACCTTCATGAAAAAGGCTGGATTAGATTGGTGTTTCCAGGCAAGCGCCTGCTAGATGGAAAATTCTATGACTCTCTGATTTTGCTTTAACTGGTCTCTGTTTCTACCTCATCAACCCAAATCCTAAAACAAGGAAATGCCTCTGTGATCCAGGTGCAGAGAAGCAGCAGGTGAATGCACTTTCCCTTCAAGTAGAGATACCTCCCCTTTCATTTGATAAAGAAAGTTTAATGTAGGTGCACATAAACACAGAGGTTAAAATATGTAGCATGGTATTTATTTCGAGGCTCAGCAAGCACAATTGCCTAGTTGTTTACTTTTATCTTCCAATCCAGTAGCACCTCATGCTAGAGAGCAAGTCTACTCCTTCAAGACTCAGCATTCAAATGAGACACCTTGGTTGAAGGGCAAGATGCTTAAATATTTGTTCTGAGGACTTAAGATGCTGAAGCTGAAGTGTCAGCTAAGCCTGATAATGATCCTACACTGATGCTTTCCAGCCCAATACAATGAAGTTATACTTCTCATCAAATTCAGTTACTGAATGAGTGCATTTTTCATTGGTTTAGGTTCATTGAACAGCAATATGGCCACTTCTCTGACTTTAATCCATGTAATTGTCTCTTGGAAGGACAGTTCCCAGCAGAAGGGTTGATGAAAGAGGATTTTTTTGTGAATGAAATAAGAAGCTCTGAACAATAAGCTCTGAACAAGTTCTCTTTTCTCTTTTAAAAACCCTTAGGTTTTAAATGACTGTATATTTTACTTCTATTTGGTGAATACAGTGTGTATCCTGTTTATTTGGTTTGAACAATGGAATAGTTTTAAAGAAAAAAATACCTTAAAATGGATCTTCAGATTAATAGCAATAGAAATTATATATATATATGTATTTTAAGTATATATATTATATATATTTATATACATGTGTACTCATATACAATATGCACACACATACCACATGTATATGCATGTATATTTACATATATATGTATGTATGTGTGTGTATATAACAATTTAAAATGTTTCTATTACTTGTTCATATAATTCACCTGTGTTTGGGACTGTGAATGCTGTGTTTGAGACTGGAGATAAAAGATGTAAAATTCACAGTTCCTGCCCTCAAGTAAAGAGGGACTTTATCCATTTATCTGTAAAAATTCCTGCTTCTTTGAGGTGTGCACCATTAGGCTGTAACTCTTTTATTACTCCTCTCACACCCCTGGTCCCTCCCCTCCTGGCTCCTAGTTTCCTCTCCATCCTAAGTCCTGCATGTGCCTCAGTCTCCATTATCTGAGCCACCTAAGTCCTTGAACTCATACAGAAGGATCTGTCTGCGTTTTTGCCTCACCACAACCATCAGCTCTCTTGGTTATATCATAATCCTCATTCTGCCTAAAACATACTCACTGGTCATCATCTCCTTTCTTTTTAGCTGCCACACTCTGTGTTTATCTTGCCACCTCATGGAAACTTCAAATCCCAGAAGCTCTGTTCTTTCAGATAATCAGCTTATTTCTTATCTATCTTCTTTCCCTACCCCTTCCCTTTTTGCATCCCACAGTTAATTATCTCAACACCTATCCAACAAAGCCTTAGTGTTTTATTAGGGTGCTCATTTTCCTTTGCTTCTCCTATACCTGGACAGCTGGATGCTGCTAGAGAGGATCACCTGACCTGTGAGTGAGTGTGTGTGTGCGTGTGTGTGTGTGTGTGTGTGTGTGTGTATGGTTTGGAAGCACAACAAATTCAAGGGCTCCAACTTCATCTGGGTCTTCAATATCACCCATGTATCCTTTCAATTCTTGGTCAGGTTCTCCCTACATTATCTTGACATTTTCCAAAACTTCAGTAGTTGGGGATCACCTTCCCAGTCTCTGCCATCCTCATTCTTCCCAAATGGCTGAGCCCCCTCTTTACTAACAAATTATGACAAAATGAGGCCATTAATCCTAATCACCCTCAACTCCTGCTCACTGTGAACTAACTTGTCTCCACCCAATTCTTAAAAACTTTTTCTTCCAGACAGAGCAGATGAGATGTCCCTCCTTCTATTCAAGGCAGCCTTCTTGTGTGCCCTTTACCCTCTCTCCCCCGCCTTGTCCAATCATTCTCTCATATATCTCATATCTTTAGTTGCTCTTTCTTTACTAGGGCCCTGTTGTAGCCTATAAATATGCTCCTTTCATACAATAAAGTTATTTTAATTCTGTGTCTCCTCTTGCTACTCTCTCTCTTTATTTGCAAAACTCTGTGAAAGGGTAGTCTGTACTTACAGTCCCCACTTCTTATTTATTCTTTAATTCAGTGCTGTCTGGTTTTTACCTACTCCATACAGTTATAACAAAAAACAAAAACACTTCTCTCTAGAACATTGGCTCACTCCTATTTCTTGAAATTCTCACTCTCTTGCCTTCCATGACATCACATTTTTATGTCCTCATTATTCCTCTTTGATATTTCTTTTCTGCCATTTTTGTAGGTTTCCTTTCCTCCATTGCCCTTTATTTTTTGGCTCCCCAGGGAGTTGCAATCCTTAGTCATTCCTTTGCTTACTTAGATGACTTCACTTCATGTAAGTGATGATGGCTCCCATAACTGAGTTTCTAATTCATACCTTTCCTCCATGTTTCAGACTTAGCAGTTGCTCACTGAACCTCTTCATTTACCACATAAAGGATCTCAAAATAACATGCCCCACGCTGAATTCATTTCAACCTTTGTCCCTAAATTCTGTGATCTTTTATGACTGGCTTCTGTCACTTAATGTCCTCAAGTTTTATCCATGTTGTAGAATTTATCATAAGTTTCTTCCTTTTAAAAGCTTAGTAATATTTTTTTTGTATTTATATACCACATTTTGTCTATCAACTCATCAGTTGATGGACATCTGGGTGGTTTCTCTTTTGTGGCTATTATGAATAATACTGCTATGAACTTTCATATATAAGTTTTTGTGCAGCTATACGTTTTCATTTCTCTTGGGTATACACCTTAAGAGTAGAATTTCTGGGTCATATGGTAACTATATTTAGACTTTCGAGGGACCGCCAGACTTTTCCAAAGAGGTTGCATCATTTTGCATTTCCAAAGAATAGATGGAAATTCCAATTTCTCCACATCCTTGTACATTTCTTATCTTTTTTTGTTTTTGGATCATAGCCAACCTAGTGAGTGTCAGGTGGTTATCTCATTGTGGTTTGACTTCATTTGACTAATGACTAATGATACTGAGCATCTTTTCATGTACTTAGTGGCCATTTGTTTGTCTTCTTCAGAGAAACATTTATGTGAATCTTTTGCCCATTTTTAAATTGGGTTATTTGTCTTCCTATTATTGAACTGCAAGAGTTCTTCATATATTTTAAATAAAAATTTCCTATCATATATATTACTTGAAAAATTTTTTGTCTTATTCTCTAGGTTGTCTCTTTATTTTCTTGTTGGTATCCTTTGAAATATGAAAGTTTTAATATTGATCAAATCCAATTTATCTGTTTTTTCTTGTGTCACCCTTACTTGTGGTCATGTCTAGGATAGCTTTTACCAAACCCAAGGTCATAAAAATTTATGCCTATATTTTCTTCTTAGAGTCTTATAGTTTTAGCTCTTAAATTTAGAAGACAAATAGGGCTGTCAATTTAAATGATTGCACATTACATCTTTCATGGGACAGAAGAAAATACTTCAAATTCCTCCTGGTTAAGAAATATATAAAAGGATTTATCACTGAATGGGAGAATAATGGATGAGTTTTGAGCACTTTCTCCATACTTTCCAAAATTTTTAAATTGTTTACAGAAAATAAGTGTTGCTTTAATGATCAGAAAAAAATTGCAGCATTATTTTACAAGCTCCTTGCTGGCTTTACACACATCTGAGGCAGCAACTTGAGGGTATGTCGATTTCATGTGTTCACTGGATCTATAAGGAGCCCATGAAAGGTTGTGTGGCCCTCTAATGCTTGGAACAGGGCCTGCCCAGAATTAAACCTGGAAATAAAGCCTTTCGTGTGGAAGGCAGCAGGAGTTGCCCCTTTGCTCTATGTAATTTTACTTGCCTTTTTTTTTTTAATTTTACATACTTTGTTGCAGCTTTTATCTACATATGTATTTGGCTCACTAAACTGTAAAACTGTGATGGCAGGAATTACATAAGCTTCTTATGCTTAATTGTTAACAACAAGCATAAATTGCGCTGCTTTTTAAGCAACATTGAAAATGCTGCCAGCAGCCCCAATGTTAGCTCTAGGGCAAAAGCATCTCTTTCCACATCTTTTGAGCACAGCCCTGCTTAGGCCATGGAAATGGAAAAACAGGTCTAACAATATTTTCCCTTTGTCAGTTCTGCAAAATCAACTGAGAAATTAAAAGTCAGTGGGTGTCTTCCACATTGTTGTGGCACCACAACTCTATATTCTTCCACTAAATGCATGTTTTCACACTAAGGTTAAAAAATATATGTGTTGGGATAAAGTAAACCTGGGTTGGAAGCCCAACTTTTCCACTTGCTAGCAAGATATACTTGGACAGGTTATTTCACCTTCTTGAGCCTTAGTTTCCCTCTCTGAGAAGGGTATAATCATGCTTAGACATAGGGTTTGTAAATATAATCATAGTAATTACTTAGAAATTGGTAGCCATTTTAATTAATAATAAAGGTGATCTGCATGATTCTAAACAAAAAGAAAAAGGTTCTCTATGCCTAATAAAACAACTATTCACTGGATTCAGTTAAGAATAGGAACTATATTTATTACTTAGGCCAGTCTGTCTGCTTTACATGTTAATGAAGACAAACTGAAGCTCTGACAACACACTTTATTTGTCTAGACCCCAGATAAATTGCCCATTTAGATTCATGTCATCTCTGAGACTTGCTGCATAGACAGCAGTCTTTCAGGGTTTGTGCACTCAGATAGAAGTGGAAGTTTTAGTAACACCAAGGTTTTTTTTGGGGGGGTTCAACAATCCAAGAAGTGAAGGTCTATGTCTAGAGTCTTTTCTGACTTTAATGAAAGAAAGCCTACAAAAGGGCACTTCACAAGAGTAGATGAAAGAATACTGAAGCAGGTCATTTAATATGTGGTGGGAGGGCTGAAATTCTTCCATCCCTTAAATGGGAGATTTGGACTAATCTCTAACATTTCTGCCTCATCATGAGTCTTTTTTGAAAAGCATTAACTGTAGATCAAATACAATAGAAAATGTATTTGAAATGGTGAGTTAAGGAAGAAAGGGTTTTTGAGTCTAATAGACCTTGTTGAAATTATCAACTCTTTCAAGTTTGATAATAGCAAACTAGCGAACTTATTAGGAGAATTAATGATAATATACAGAAAGCACTTGTCTCTTGTAGATACTTAACAAGTACAAGAAAAAATGCTATTATTATTAAGATTAAAACTCATTAATAAGTACATCTGATCAAACATTAAGAAAATATCAAATGTTAGCAGCAATATATAAGCCAAGGCAGCTGCCAAAACTGTTATGATTATAAACTTTTGTTTACAGGAATTTTAACATGAGATCCTTCTAATGGAATATCATATTAGGAGATGCTGTAAAGTATACCATAGTTCATCATATGTCCTCCCAGAATATAAGTGTCTATAATAAATATGTTAATTTTGATTAACCCATTTTGAGGGTGTTAATCATGCATTGGTATTAGAAAAGGGCTCCACTACATAATTAAATCAAAAATTAGAAACTCTAGATGATGAGACATAAAAATGTGCATTGAAAATTCTAGCTTAATTGAATTCTAAATAGGTTGAAAATTTCATGAAGATTTTTTTCAAACTGAAGAAAACCTGGAACAATTCCTCTTTTTGACTGAACATGATCTTACTCCGAAAACCAAATAACAAGTATTACATCATCCTGGAAAAGAGGTGGATGTCAAGCCAGGAAGTTGGCAGATATGTGGAGAAATAGGGGTGCTTGAACTTGCAAACTATGGAGAAAATATGTCAGATAGAGTAATTTCTAAAATCTAGAAGAGGAGTCACATCAGGTCTCAGATGGAATGGACTCCTTGCTCTACAGGGATGGAGACATACATATCCTGTTCGTTTCTTCCTGGATCTTTTTCCATCAATGAAGTACAAATTGTAGGGTAGAGAACAGGGAGCCTAGTTTTCCAAACTGTAATATAGTTGAAAATGTATCTCTGATAGGCCCATCCTAGTGATAGCAATGTCTAGGACATTTAAATATTTTACCTTTAATGCTTTAAAAAATATTTTAATGTAATTTATACTTTAAAAAAATCTAAGCAATGCAAAATGTAGATAGGTGGATAGATAGAAAATCCCTTCTAATCTTACTTCCTAGAGTAAGCAACTGTTAATAGTATGGTGAAAGACTTTCAGATTGTTTCCACTTTCAGCTATTTTAAGGTGATACAACAAGGAATATAGTATTCATAAATCATTGTGTAATTCCTAAGTACTCCAGTCTAGAAGTCAACTTGCTGGGTCAGTGTGTGAAAGTGCTTAAAATATTTTTGATATCTTACACTGTTAGCAATCATGAATAAAAACAATAAGGACCTGTGTTTCCACACTTTACCAGGAGATAATTTAAAATAGATGCTGAAGGGAAATCTGAAGTATCATTAGTATTGAATGATTTTATATATATGGCATTTTTTTCCGCAACAATCTTAATTTATTGCCTTTCTTCACTTCTCCCCCTCCCGCCATCCCTGCCCTTTTTGTAGCTATGTAATTTCACCCGAATGTTGGCTCTAGAAGATTTTATTCTGTTGGCCAGTGGAACAGAGTCAGTAGAAAATGATACCTTCAAAACTCTGAGTACCTTGAAGACCTTGGAACTCTGGAAAAATAAGTTAAGACGAGTCCCCAGTGCTCTCCCAGCCAGTCTTGAAGTGCTAAAACTAAATGATAATTCAATATATGTCCTACAGGGATCTGATTTTGAAGGACTAAAGAAATTAAAAATCCTTGAACTTAAAAACAATCTGATCTCTTCTCTCTCTTCCCGCACGCTCTCCTCCCTTGTCAGTTTGGAAAATTTGATGTTGGATGGCAACAGTATTGAGTCTGTAGCTGGACAGCTGGTACTTCCCCATCTGAAACATATGAGCATGGAGAATAATAAAATACATCTTATACCAGCTAATTTCTTTACATCTCTTCAGTCTTTGCAATTTCTCAGTTTCAGTGGTAACTTTCTGACTAAAATGCCTGTAAATATGCCCAAATCCTTGTTCTCTTTAAAAATGGAGAGAAACCAACTCAAAGTAGTAAGGTTTCGAGATATGAAACACTTGGAGAATCTTTCCCATCTTTACCTGTCAGAAAACTCTCTCTCTTCCATTGATGGGGCACAGCTCCTTGCCAATTTAACTACTCTTGAGCTGTCCCAAAACCAGCTTCAGATGTTGCCCCTCAGACTACCAGCAAGGCTACAAAAACTTGATATTAGCAATAATCTGATTCAGAGAGTTACAGCACAAGACTTCCAGGACCTCCAAGACTTGAAACATTTGTTTCTGGACAACAACATCGTCAGCCTGTTCGAAGCTGGAGCCCTACAGAGGTGTTCCCAGCTCTCCAACCTGGCACTGGAACAAAACCTGCTGTTGTCTATACCTCTAAGGTAAGTGGGCATTATCATTCATGCTAACTCTATAAAGTTTTCTGGGGATTGGGGTGATCAAGCACATTATACAGTCAAGAAAAATAAAGCAAACAAATTATCTGATAAGGCTATCCAAGGGTTCAGAGGTAGAGGTTTTAAACAGGGCTGTGGCATCTCCAGCCCTCAAACTGAAGCCTGCACTACTTTATCTTGTACGCGGGACAAGAAACCAACAGGTAAGATCTATATCTGAAAATACACAATGCGAATTTGGGGAAGTATGCTGACAATCATAATGTGGAGATATTACTTGTGAAAAGTGTGTTTCACTTTTATATATAGCCTGAATCCAGAAACCCACAGACTGGACATGCACTTAGCCACTAGCAAAGCAAAGGCAGGAGGAAGACATGAGGGGAAATGTAGTAAGATATTTATATTTTTAAAAAGATTGAAATAGTAGGTATGGAAAAAAATCACAACTCTGTAATCTAACATTGTATTTATTTTGAGTTAAGTGTTTGAGAGCCTCATGCTCTTCTCAGTGCTATGATCTTTAAAGGACTTAGCCTGGCTCTGCTGATTTCTCTGTGTGTTTGTGAGTGTACAAGCCCATTAGTGTCTGTCTTACCATCTTTTTCTAGTTGTCTCTTTTGTTCTCCCTCCCTCTCTCTTTCTCTCTAAGTTGCACACACACACACACACACACACACACACCTCATACTCTGACACTTAATTTCTCTTTCCAAATATCCCTCCCTCTCCCAACCACTGTACCTGTTCCCCCTAACCAGTCATAATTTGTAATATACATGTTTACATTAATGATCCTATTTAAATTTTACTCCATGTTCTACATTTTAGTCATGTCTAGGATAGCTTTTACCAAACCCAAGGTCATAAAAATTTATGCCTATATTTTCTTCTTAGAGTCTTATAGTTTTAGCTCTTAAATTTAGAAGACAAATAGGGCTGTCAATTTAAATGATTGCCCATTACATCTTTCATGGGACAGAAGAAAATACTTCAAATTCCTCCTGGTTAAGAAATATATAAAAGGATTTATCACTGAATGGGAGAATAATGGATGAGTTTTGAGCACTTTCTCCATACTTTCCAAAATTTTTAAATTGTTTACAGAAAATAAGTGTTGCTTTAATGATCAGAAAAAAATTGCAGCATTATTTTACAAGCTCCTTGCTGGCTTTACACACATCTGAGGCAGCAACTTGAGGGTATGTCGATTTCATGTGTTCACTGGATCTATAAGGAGCCCATGAAAGGTTGTGTGGCCCTCTAATGCTTGGAACAGGGCCTGCCCAGAATTAAACCTGGAAATAAAGCCTTTCGTGTGGAAGGCAGCAGGAGTTGCCCCTTTGCTCTATGTAATTTTACTTGCCTTTTTTTTTTAATTTTACATACTTTGTTGCAGCTTTTATCTACATATGTATTTGGCTCACTAAACTGTAAAACTGTGATGGCAGGAATTACATAAGCTTCTTATGCTTAATTGTTAACAACAAGCATAAATTGCACTGCTTTTTAAGCAACATTGAAAATGCTGCCAGCAGCCCCAATGTTAGCTCTAGGGCAAAAGCATCTCTTTCCACATCTTTTGAGCACAGCCCTGCTTAGGCCATGGAAATGGAAAAACAGGTCTAACAATATTTTCCCTTTGTCAGTTCTGCAAAATCAACTGAGAAATTAAAAGTCAGTGGGTGTCTTCCACATTGTTGTGGCACCACAACTCTATATTCTTCCACTAAATGCATGTTTTCACACTAAGGTTAAAAAATATATGTGTTGGGATAAAGTAAACCTGGGTTGGAAGCCCAACTTTTCCACTTGCTAGCAAGATATACTTGGACAGGTTATTTCACCTTCTTGAGCCTTAGTTTCCCTCTCTGAGAAGGGTATAATCATGCTTAGACATAGGGTTTGTAAATATAATCATAGTAATTACTTAGAAATTGGTAGCCATTTTAATTAATAATAAAGGTGATCTGCATGATTCTAAACAAAAAGAAAAAGGTTCTCTATGCCTAATAAAACAACTATTCACTGGATTCAGTTAAGAATAGGAACTATATTTATTACTTAGGCCAGTCTGTCTGCTTTACATGTTAATGAAGACAAACTGAAGCTCTGACAACACACTTTATTTGTCTAGACCCCAGATAAATTGCCCATTTAGATTCATGTCATCTCTGAGACTTGCTGCATAGACAGCAGTCTTTCAGGGTTTGTGCACTCAGATAGAAGTGGAAGTTTTAGTAACACCAAGGTTTTTTTTGGGGGGGGGTTCAACAATCCAAGAAGTGAAGGTCTATGTCTAGAGTCTTTTCTGACTTTAATGAAAGAAAGCCTACAAAAGGGCACTTCACAAGAGTAGATGAAAGAATACTGAAGCAGGTCATTTAATATGTGGTGGGAGGGCTGAAATTCTTCCATCCCTTAAATGGGAGATTTGGACTAATCTCTAACATTTCTGCTTTTTTAAAACTCTGGTTTGTGTCCTCATCATGAGTCTTTTTTGAAAAGCATTAACTGTAGATCAAATACAATAGAAAATGTATTTGAAATGGTGAGTTAAGGAAGAAAGGGTTTTTGAGTCTAATAGACCTTGTTGAAATTATCAACTCTTTCAAGTTTGATAATAGCAAACTAGCGGACTTATTAGGAGAATTAATGATAATATACAGAAAGCACTTGTCTCTTGTAGATACTTAACAAGTACAAGAAAAAATGCTATTATTATTAAGATTAAAACTCATTAATAAGTACATCTGATCAAACATTAAGAAAATATCAAATGTTAGCAGCAATATATAAGCCAAGGCAGCTGCCAAAACTGTTATGATTATAAACTTTTGTTTACAGGAATTTTAACATGAGATCCTTCTAATGGAATATCATATTAGGAGATGCTGTAAAGTATACCATAGTTCATCATATGTCCTCCCAGAATATAAGTGTCTATAATAAATATGTTAATTTTGATTAACCCATTTTGAGGGTGTTAATCATGCATTGGTATTAGAAAAGGGCTCCACTACATAATTAAATCAAAAATTAGAAACTCTAGATGATGAGACATAAAAATGTGCATTGAAAATTCTAGCTTAATTGAATTCTAAATAGGTTGAAAATTTCATGAAGATTTTTTTCAAACTGAAGAAAACCTGGAACAATTCCTCTTTTTGACTGAACATGATCTTACTCCGAAAACCAAATAACAAGTATTACATCATCCTGGAAAAGAGGTGGATGTCAAGCCAGGAAGTTGGCAGATATGTGGAGAAATAGGGGTGCTTGAACTTGCAAACTATGGAGAAAATATGTCAGATAGAGTAATTTCTAAAATCTAGAAGAGGAGTCACATCAGGTCTCAGATGGAATGGACTCCTTGCTCTACAGGGATGGAGACATACATATCCTGTTCGTTTCTTCCTGGATCTTTTTCCATCAATGAAGTACAAATTGTAGGGTAGAGAACAGGGAGCCTAGTTTTCCAAACTGTAATATAGTTGAAAATGTATCTCTGATAGGCCCATCCTAGTGATAGCAATGTCTAGGACATTTAAATATTTTACCTTTAATGCTTTAAAAAATATTTTAATGTAATTTATACTTTAAAAAAATCTAAGCAATGCAAAATGTAGATAGGTGGATAGATAGAAAATCCCTTCTAATCTTACTTCCTAGAGTAAGCAACTGTTAATAGTATGGTGAAAGACTTTCAGATTGTTTCCACTTTCAGCTATTTTAAGGTGATACAACAAGGAATATAGTATTCATAAATCATTGTGTAATTCCTAAGTACTCCAGTCTAGAAGTCAACTTGCTGGGTCAGTGTGTGAAAGTGCTTAAAATATTTTTGATATCTTACACTGTTAGCAATCATGAATAAAAACAATAAGGACCTGTGTTTCCACACTTTACCAGGAGATAATTTAAAATAGATGCTGAAGGGAAATCTGAAATATCATTAGTATTGAATGATTTTATATATATGGCATTTTTTTCCGCAACAATCTTAATTTATTGCCTTTCTTCACTTCTCCCCCTCCCGCCATCCCTGCCCTTTTTGTAGCTATGTAATTTCACCCGAATGTTGGCTCTAGAAGATTTTATTCTGTTGGCCAGTGGAACAGAGTCAGTAGAAAATGATACCTTCAAAACTCTGAGTACCTTGAAGACCTTGGAACTCTGGAAAAATAAGTTAAGACGAGTCCCCAGTGCTCTCCCAGCCAGTCTTGAAGTGCTAAAACTAAATGATAATTCAATATATGTCCTACAGGGATCTGATTTTGAAGGACTAAAGAAATTAAAAATCCTTGAACTTAAAAACAATCTGATCTCTTCTCTCTCTTCCCGCACGCTCTCCTCCCTTGTCAGTTTGGAAAATTTGATGTTGGATGGCAACAGTATTGAGTCTGTAGCTGGACAGCTGGTACTTCCCCATCTGAAACATATGAGCATGGAGAATAATAAAATACATCTTATACCAGCTAATTTCTTTACATCTCTTCAGTCTTTGCAATTTCTCAGTTTCAGTGGTAACTTTCTGACTAAAATGCCTGTAAATATGCCCAAATCCTTGTTCTCTTTAAAAATGGAGAGAAACCAACTCAAAGTAGTAAGGTTTCGAGATATGAAACACTTGGAGAATCTTTCCCATCTTTACCTGTCAGAAAACTCTCTCTCTTCCATTGATGGGGCACAGCTCCTTGCCAATTTAACTACTCTTGAGCTGTCCCAAAACCAGCTTCAGATGTTGCCCCTCAGACTACCAGCAAGGCTACAAAAACTTGATATTAGCAATAATCTGATTCAGAGAGTTACAGCACAAGACTTCCAGGACCTCCAAGACTTGAAACATTTGTTTCTGGACAACAACATCGTCAGCCTGTTCGAAGCTGGAGCCCTACAGAGGTGTTCCCAGCTCTCCAACCTGGCACTGGAACAAAACCTGCTGTTGTCTATACCTCTAAGGTAAGTGGGCATTATCATTCATGCTAACTCTATAAAGTTTTCTGGGGATTGGGGTGATCAAGCACATTATACAGTCAAGAAAAATAAAGCAAACAAATTATCTGATAAGGCTATCCAAGGGTTCAGAGGTAGAGGTTTTAAACAGGGCTGTGGCATCTCCAGCCCTCAAACTGAAGCCTGCACTACTTTATCTTGTACGCGGGACAAGAAACCAACAGGTAAGATCTATATCTGAAAATACACAATGCGAATTTGGGGAAGTATGCTGACAATCATAATGTGGAGATATTACTTGTGAAAAGTGTGTTTCACTTTTATATATAGCCTGAATCCAGAAACCCACAGACTGGACATGCACTTAGCCACTAGCAAAGCAAAGGCAGGAGGAAGACATGAGGGGAAATGTAGTAAGATATTTATATTTTTAAAAAGATTGAAATAGTAGGTATGGAAAAAAATCACAACTCTGTAATCTAACATTGTATTTATTTTGAGTTAAGTGTTTGAGAGCCTCATGCTCTTCTCAGTGCTATGATCTTTAAAGGACTTAGCCTGGCTCTGCTGATTTCTCTGTGTGTTTGTGAGTGTACAAGCCCATTAGTGTCTGTCTTACCATCTTTTTCTAGTTGTCTCTTTTGTTCTCCCTCCCTCTCTCTTTCTCTCTAAGTTGCACACACACACACACACACACACACACACACCTCATACTCTGACACTTAATTTCTCTTTCCAAATATCCCTCCCTCTCCCAACCACTGTACCTGTTCCCCCTAACCAGTCATAATTTGTAATATACATGTTTACATTAATGATCCTATTTAAATTTTACTCCATGTTCTACATTTTAAAGCAGATTAGTAAAAAAAAAGTAGACAAATAAAGCACTATTATTCTCTTAAAGAAGACATTATGCTGTTTATCATATGTGCCTGTCAGTGGATTCTTTTTCCTTTGATATTGTATAGAAAAAAAGGTTTTCTGCCCTGTCTCTTATGATTATCAAACTTCTCACAATTAATATATCAATTTCTGGCTTCTATAGAATCCTATGACATTCAAATTACTTATTGTCATTGTTACAGTAATTTTTCTTATCAAAGAGAAAGGGAAAAATTATCTTTGATATGTATAGATATTGATTTTCTTCTAGTTGAAAGGGATTTTTTAATTTTATGGTATGGTAACCGGGTAACTATATATTATACATACACTATTTAACATATAGTATGTGTAACTTTGATGCAAAACATCAGTGATTTTTTTCCTACTGAAATCAGAATTTAAAACATATATTGAGGGTGATTTGAAAGTAATCAATTTTTTTAAATGTATAAGCTGGTACATACAATTAATTAAATTCAACAAGTATGTGTTAAACATTTACCTTTTGCCAGGTACTTTACCAGGCACTTGGGACATATCAGTGTAATAAAAGAGATAAGACTTCTTGTTCTGTACAGCTTAAATCCTAGCAGGGAAAGAGTAATAATAAACATACTGTGCAAGTAAAGTATATAATATGTAGGTGGTGTTTGGGGTTACAGTTAACAACAACACAAAAGGGCAGTATTACCAGGTTCAAGACCTTAGAGAGTGGGGGTGGCTGTTGCAATTTTAAATACTGTAAGTGTAGTAACCCTCATGAAAATGTAAGCTTTGAGCAAGACTGGAAGGAGGCGAGGGATTTAGCTATGAAACTATTTGAGCAAAAAAGTGTTCTAGACAGAACAGCCAGTACAAAGGCTTTAAGGCAAGAACATGCCTGCAGTATTTCAAGACTCTAATACTTGTTTTGAAATTTGTCTGCTATGTTTCAAGGCATATTTTTTACTACTGCATGCCTTTACTCCAAGAAAAAAAATGGTGTATAAAATAACTCAAAAAACACGTTAGGGAGTGACTATGTTATGGAAGGATTCTCAGCAGGCTGGGACAGCAGTGGGCTAAACTGTGAACCCTGTGGACTTTTCTATTCAGGTGACTTGTAGAAAGCATTTGGTTAAGTAATCCTGATAAGTTTAATGAGTGAAAAGTAGCTTAATTATTAATCCCTTCCAGGGTATGTGTATTTTAATAAGTGACTACATAAAGCACAATGCTTTTACCCAATAAAGGGTATAATGGAATTGCAAGCCTGAGCTAGCCATACTTTTCAAATCTGGCTTCCCATTAGATTTATCTGGAGAACTTTAAAGAAGTATACTCATGTCCAGACCTAATTTCAAACCAATTAAATCAGACACCCCAGGGTAGGAGCCCAGGCATCACTATTTTTGAAAAGCCCCCAGATGAACTTAATGTGCAGCCAGGGTTAAGAACTAGTAGGCAAGAACAATGCGACATGTAGCATGAGATGGGAGTGGGCTTTCTCTCTGAGGGTTAATTTAAGCAAGACAGCTAGCTGTCTGCTCTGTCAAGAGAAGGTGGCCAGCTAGGAGAGCAATGTCTTACATGGTGATCTTTAAATTCCCTATCACCTCCACCACCCATCCACTCACCAGGCTTTTCATTGAATTTGAAAGAGGGAATACCCAGTTTTTCTATGGTTTTCCTCCCATAAAAAATTAAACCCAAATATTACCTATTCTTTATGTTTGAATTTTAAGACTTTTATTTATGAACCCAAACAATATACTCTTTCCATTTGTATGCTTGTTATCCATACACAAAATTATACTTTAAAATTTAGTTTTCTATAAATAATCTGTAAACACAGGCAATTTATCTTTTGCTAGTTGCTCACCCAGTCTAACCTTTTGCTACTTGTCGGTTGTGTTGTCCTGTCACAAACTATTCCCACAAATCCCTTCTTTTGCCTACTATCCTCCATTCTACATTTCATCAAGAAAATAATGGTAGATGGTTTAAAGTACACATATACTCAAATATCTACCATATTTGCCTCAATGTGTTAATTGAGATAAAAAAGAATACCTAACAACTATAAAGTACTTACTAAGACCAGCAGTGAATGTACATGTATGTGTTATTCCCTGTTACTCCTTATGACAATCCCCTGAAGGTAGTAGGTATAATATTTTGCCTATTTTACAGATTAGGAATTTCAAATTAAGAGGTATTAAGAAACTTAATCAAAGTCACTTCATCACTGAACAGTGGAGCCAAGATGAAAACTCCAGAGCCAGGGAATTTTACCCACCACAAAATCACCTGCCTCCCAGATTGACTCTACTGCCAAAATGCACTATGCTACTTAGAACTTAAAGTGTCCAAGACCCAAGTCTCACTTTTTGCTGTTTCTCGTTTCACCAATCTGCAGTTCAGTGAACAAATGTACATCATGTCATATCTTCTTTACCTATAATTTGAATAATTCAAATCCAGAATAGCTTTCTACAATCCAAGGTAGTTAGCGTTTTATCTTACACTCAGGCACCACCTACCGGCAAAAGGAACTGTGCCTCTTTTTTTACTCTAAAAAGCAACAGGACCCAAAGAACAAGTAGCATCTTTAGAAACATTTTTGTCTTAAAACATGGGCTACCTTTTTATATCAATCAGACTTATAAAGTCAAATTCAATCAAAACAGTAATATGACTGCTGAAAGTTCACAAAACCAGGAAATTAGCGATTTCTCTTACAATGTCATTTTGATTATAACGTCTACTGAAACATGAAAGAAAAAAAGAGGCACTCCTAAGAAGAGGTACATGTTTTGGCTATCCGGCCCAGAACTGAATACAGTGGACCGTTGGACAATGGATGGTTAGGTGCACTGACCCCCATCCTCCACACCAACATCAAAAATCCACAGAGAAGTTTTGATTCCCCCAAAACTACTGATAGCCTCCTTTAACTGGAATCCTTACCAGTAGATGACATAAATGGTTGACTGACACACTTTTTTAAGAGTATATGTATTATATACTCTATTCTTAGTATACAATAAAATAAGCTAGAAAAAAATGTTTTTTCAAGTTGTCACAAATCTCCAAAATATATTGCAATGTATTTATTGAAAAGAATACATGTACAAGTGGAAACCCATGTTGCTCATGTGTAATTGTATTTGTGTTTTAAAAAATCTTGACTTGCTCATACTCATTAGTTGACATTTATTATGTGATTTCTGTATACTGAGCACTTTCATCTGTAGGGTGGAAAACCAGAAGATTTAAGAAGCTACATAACTTACCTGAAGTCACACCCTGGGAACAGAATGACCAAAGTTAGAAATCAAGCCTTACAAAGTAGACTCAGCTCTTGGGTTTCCTCTGCCTTCACTTTACTCAGTAATGCTCCCTTGTACTCTCAGTGCTAATGGATTCTTGCTTACTGCTACACCTTCTATTAATAATCCATCTTTCCTTGGGGGAAAAAAAGCTGTATGTAAGAGATTTTCTGTATAACTTTTAGAGATGTACATTATATAAGCTGGTGTGTGCACAAAATTACATTGTCCTGGGGATTAATTTCACTTTGAATTTAATTATCAAACTGCTAAAATGTATGAAGTTATTTTCCCTGGTAAGTTAATCAACTTTATTAGGTAAATTTTATCCCAACTAAGGAAAGGCACTTAAAATAAAACTTTAAAGTATTCAGAAGTCACAAATACTTATTTATGTAACATACCTTATAGTTTAGAATATGAGTATAGATGTAAAATATATAAATATAAATTTGTATAAATATAAAAAGAAATTAAAAATCCAAGAGCAAAATTTAGGCTAAGTGCCATTAACCTAAAAGTTTAAACTTTTTGGAATGAAATTCAAATTAGAATAATAAGCAAAAGGTAGTATTTTCATAAAATATGGCTAAATTCATTTATTTTTTATTTTTGATATAGCAATCACATGACTGGGACAACCACAATAAATACTGAAAGGCATAAATGTATAAATGTACACCTAATGTGTTCACACTGCATAAAAATAGCATTTGAGTGGTATTTCAAGGGCCTTTTTTTTCCCTATGAAACTTGCCTACTTATTACACTTTATAGAAAGAATAGCACTCAATATAAAGTTGTTTA